TTCCTCATCCGTCACAAAAACACGCCCTCCCCCCCCAAAAAAAAAATTGGGTACACTCAACAATGCTTGCCTCTCAGTTCCAAAGTTGAGAAAGTTTGACGTGTCATTCAAAAACATGGTTCTAATTTTTGGGTGGACGTCAGGACGATTGAATCCTAGCCCACCCCCCTTACCTGCACACACCCAGGTGGCGGCACAAAAATCACCATGTGTTTCCATATTATTCTTGTTGCAATCGTACACATGTACGTGTGAGGTAGGGCTTATTGACTTGTGCTCAGTTGTGATTGGTTTTTAATGGCAGAAAAAACACTGCCCCTTGAAGTTAACGTGAAAGTAAGTGCTGGCCTCACTTTCTCACTCAGATGAAGGAATTGCGGCGCACATGCCTAGAGCCACACAACTATTGTTTCTGATTATTGTAGGATGGAAACTATCCTATAGTTGCAGTTTTACAAAAGAGTTTGGCCAAACAACGCAAGGCAGATGGCTTCGTCTCAAAGATTGTATATCAGGGAGCGGATTCTTTTGACCATTTCCAGGAAGATGGCCTCATATGCTCCTTCAACTCTCTGAAACTCCCAACTCATTTATAAGTATGGAAGAGTCACCGGGGCTTTATACGCCGGATTAGCTTCTTGTAAGTGCATAGAAACATTATTTTGACTTTCGCAGAACAAGCGTTTGTACATCACTTTGATAGGCTCAACTGAATCCGAGCATGATCTCTCATTTGTGGATGTGCTGCACAAAAACCGTCTCGTGTTTCAGTCGGGATGATATTCAGGATATGTTAGTGCGTTCTCACAAGGTTACCGACAACTTTTCGAAAGCCCACTATCGACTTCGCCCTTTTCTGGGCTCATCAGGTAGGCTCAGTACCCAAGTCCCGAACAACCTTATGTTCTACTTGAACCAAAATTGCTTGAATGTCGCGAAGTATATTCGTTTAGAAAAACTAATATGGTCTTCGGGGCAAGATGGACCAAGTGGTTAGAGCGCGAATTTACTGAGCGGAAGGTCCGTGGTTCGAACTAACCTCTGCCTCTCAACTTCCCCTGTTTAGGCTTGGGCAACCTGGCGGTAACTCAGCCCTCGTGCAACCTTCGGGTGGCATAGCAGTTAGGTACCGAAAGGGTGCGACAGCTGAATGATTTTTTCAGTATTGTTTTCACGGGCGAATACTCCGATCCCACCTAAAAACTAAATTAGTGTGCAAATAGGTATATCTCAGGAATTTCATACAATTCGGGTTCAAGTAGTATAGATGGTGGATGAAAGCTCGGGAATTGCGGCCACCTGGTAAGACCAACGAGGGGCGAAACCGGTTTTAGGTTGTCGAACAGTTTTGAGTAACCTTGTGAGAAGTATCCCTTCAAGAAAAGTGGTTTGAATCTGAATCTGGCGAAACAGATAAGGATCAACTAGGATTTCTGGAGGTCTTTATCCACACCACTAGCAATGATCAGTCTTAGCTTCTACATTGTCACTGGGAGTGACATGGATTTCGAACTGTTTAGCCAATCTGCCAACCTTGTTCCTTCCTTCACTGTAACACCAGAGGCCCGTTCTCACTCGCTTCATGCAGCGGTCCACCCACAGTTTCCATCGTACTTACTGACACAACGACGCACGATTAACTCACGTCACACCGATGATGTCATCTCGGTTTGCAACCAAATTTTCCAGCTCAGCGAACAGTAAAACAACCACTTCTCATCCGGAGTTGAGGTGCACCCATCTAGAGAGCGTATATGTATACAAATAACACCGGCGCCATCCCGGTTTTGAAAACCTATTTTAAGCGCTTCTGATAAGCCGGTTGATTTTTGAAGCTCCAAATTCGGTGCGGAATTGACAATCGTGAACGAGCTGTCTACAAGGCAGTTTTTGAATACCTCAGCAGATTTTCTAGGCTGAGATAGTGAAATATAAAGGTTGCTCAATCAAATATTGGAGCGCCGGCTTTCGAATTTCACTTTCCAATGGGCACAACTACCTCTTCAGGTGCGTATTGCTAATGAAATAGTCTATGTTGGGAGAAACTAATAATTATGTGATAAATACACTGAAATTTGTTGTTATTATCATTGTTATTAGGTCGCAGTATTCCGGTTGTCCAAGGGACAAATGTGAGTACTCTCCAGTTTGTTCATTTCAACCCTTATGAGTCGATCAGCTGATCCGCAGGAATGACTCGCACAAGCCATTCGGTCAGAAAAGGTCAGCGTGGTTTGGCGATATCATTTGCTGGATACTAGGTTGTTCACATTGGGACTACTGAAAAAGTGGCAAGACGTTCACACCAAAGTAGTTTTCAGCTGCAATCCTGGTGTTTGCGAAACAGGTAATGCCAAGCAATTGAGCCTAATCGCCAGCTTGATAACTGATCTTGGTTGTTACTCAAGCCTGGTTAGCTTGTCGATAAATGGATTCGAATTAACCAATCGGGTTTCAAAAAGTCGTTCATTTGGTACGCGGTTGAACAACTCAAAAATATTTGATGTTTGAACTAGAATTATCCATGGTTCATCAGTACTTCAAAAATGACTGAAATTGCCGGAACCCATCGGATAAAATAAAAAAACCAGTGCCTTTTTTCACAATTCTGTCAAACAGATATTTTTTCCGTCCAGTGTAAGATGCGCTGTCAGTATTGCCGTGTATAATCAGTACTTATAAACAATGCGAGAGGGTTCATGGTGTTTAGGCTCGAGTTCCGCATTGTTACCGTCGAAATAAGACCAATACTCTTTGGTTTTCACGAGAGACTCAACTGAATCTCTCGTTTATGATATTCTACAACTGCATGTGTTGCACACAGGCCGCCCCATGATTCAGTTGGCACGATATTCGAGATATCGCAGTATGTTTTCATAAAGGAAACTACTCACAAGATTGCTGAGAACTGTTCGACAGCCCACGACCGGTTTCGCCCTTCCACTTTGGGCTCATCAGGTAGGCGCAGTCCCCGAGTTTCCGTACAGCCCAATTTGGGTTCAAGTAGAACATAAGATTGACGGAAACTTGAGGACTGCGCCTACCTGATGAGCCCCAAGAAGGACGAAACCGGCTGTCGAAGAGTTTTCAGCAACCTTGTGAGTAGTTTCCTTTATGAAGACCAACACTATGTAGGAGCTAACGTCGTTGTAAGTATTACGTCGGAGCTCGCTCTTCACCGGAGTGATTTACTAGGACTGAAAGTTCGAAATCGACATTAGGCGTTCAACGACACTGGCAGTGCACTAGCTTTAGAATCAGATGGGTGGATAGATGAGTCTGTGGCTGATTGCACTCTCGAATGCTTTGAAAAACTTTCTTTCGTGTAAAAAGTTCCATATTTTTAACTTATACACTCATCTTTAAACCAATTTCGCTTTTATGGATGACTCACCCGGAACTCAGGTGGATCTCTCGCCTATATAAATTTTCGCCTTCTGTAAAAACCAGACTGGTATGCAGCAGTGTGTACAAGTCACATTTCGTGCAATTCGAGTTTGAGTAGAACATAAGGCTGACGAAAACTCGGGGACTGCGCCTATCTGATGGAATTTAAGAAGGGCCAAACCACTCGTGGGTTTTCGAACATTTTTCGGCAACCTTAAGAGTGGTGTATTAAGTCTATTTTATTGCTTACCCACTCTCCACTCACTGTTTCGGCAAAGGTCATAACGCTTTTACAGAGCGACTATACCAGAAAATCACTCACGTTCATGACACGTTTGAGATTCGTAAACGCGGAGAATTCGATTGCGCTGGGTCGGCGAACGACATCTGTGCATCAACCGGGAGCATAGTTTGTATAGATTGATTCCAGCAATCTGTTGACTGTGCATCAGGAGCATAGTTTGTATAGATTGATTCCAGCAATCTGTTGAACCACGTCGAGTTACGCGCAAATGGAGGTTTATCTACAAACAAATTACTATAAGTACAATAATAAAATGATAAGGCTTTACAAACCTCAAATCGTGGGACTATGCAGGCTTCTATACACCGGTTTAGGAACTGCTAATTCCTAACGGGTCTCAAAGTCCACGCCGACTCGGAGCCACGTGTTTACAAGCTAGCGAAACCACGTGTGAACTTAAACGACACGTCCGATGACAAGGTCAAAGAACGGTTTATGTTCAGGTCAAAAACAACAAGGGTGGTATGGGCACGGACCAAAATAACAAAAAAGGGGGAATCGCGTTGTACAATATAAAAGGTAGGAGAAAAGAATCAACACCGCCCCCCAAAGCCAGCATGGCTTTCCCTAATCTACCAGTTCAACCCACCGCATGCAAGAAAGAGACCAACGAGAATGGTACAATTGCTCTAGCCACAAACGCTTTCCTCAATCTGCAGCATGCTCCTAGGGTGGTGAGCAACTAGCTGTCTTTTACCCATTCCAGCAGGCAGATTTTTGTATGG